TCCTTCCCGCCCTCGCGCTGCGCCCAGGTAGCTGCGAGGAAACTTTTGCAGCGGCTGGGTGGCCGTCGTCTCCTGCTCCTCACAGAGCCGCTGCCAGCCTTGCCGCGCCCCGGGACTGCTTTCGTCCCCTCCGCTGCCACTCTCTCGTGCCTCTCGCTCCGCGTGCAGAGGATGGCCGGCACCGTGCGCACCGCGTGCTTGGTGGTGGCGATGCTGCTCTGCCTGGATTGCCCGGGACAGGCGCAGCCCCCGCCGCCGCCGGACGCCACCTGTCATCAGGTCCGCTCTTTCTTCCAGAGACTGCAACCCGGACTCAAGTGGGTGCCCGAGACCCCTGTGCCAGGTGAGGAGAGCTTTCAGGTGCATCTTCTGCGCTCAGCGGGGAGCAGAGGCGCACGGTGGCCATCCGTTGAGCGCTCTGGGACCGCGATAAAGCGCCCTGTGGCCAGGCACTGGGGATGGGTCCCTGACTGGGCCGAGCCGGCCCGCTGGGGTTGTGAACCAGGCTCGTGTCCCCCGGGCTCCCACTGCTGGAGGGGACCCCGCGAAGGACCGAAACTGCTGGGTGGCTTGCCAGAGCGCGCCCATGTCTGGGGAAGGCGGGAAGGTGGGGACTGGTTCTCTGGGCCCTGGAGCCCCATGTCCAAGCTGCTACCTCGGGAATTAGCCCCCCTCGCTTGCACGTATGTCAGAACGGCAGCGAGAGCAGGAGCGCAGCTCTGGACATCCTTCTCTTCGGCAGCCCCTGCGCCCTCTGTCCCCAGCTTGCCTCCAGGCTCAGGGCCCAAGTGCAGACAAAGTTGAGGCCAGCTCCCCGAATCCGCAGTGGCAGGTAAAGACATGAGGAGAGAAACTTTTGAGTGGAAGAGTCCCCTTAATGAAGAGAGCTGAGTTTTGCCCCTTCAAAGCAGCGCTCCCTGATTGCCAACATCCCGTCCTAAAGGTGCTGCTGGAACCCAGAGCGGGCGTCCAAAGAGGGTCTCTAACTCCTCCCCCTCTCCCGTTCAGCTGCCTCTTTGACAGCGTGGGCTTCCTTAGGGAGATGAGTTTAGGTGGGGAGCAAAGTTTTGGGACGTCTGTCTTTTGTTCTCCACAACCCTATCGTGCCGCGAGGGCATATTTTAACCTTAGCTGAGGGCTGCGGCTGTCAACATATGAATATCAATGGACCTGCGTGATTGACTGTCCCGCGGTGAGGCTCCAAAAAGCCTGCCTTAGAATCCAATTAGGACAAGTTTTGATACTGGCAATATGGCCAGGAAGAGCTGCTTGTTAACAGGTTAATTTCTCTGTGCGCTCGGCAAGAAATAGCTGCTGGTTGTGGCAAAACCTAAGAAGCTAGTGGCCTCCAGCGCTTCTCCGCGATCCACACTCTCAGTGTGGCGCGCGCCCCGCACTTCCAAGCGATCGGGGAGCAGCCCCTCACCAAAACTTGGCTCATGGCTTTCCAACAAGTCGGGGAAAAGCTTGCCTGGTGGCTGGACCAAGCTGTGAAGGCGGATGCTCGCCCTATGGGCGCTGCCAGGGAGCGTTCACTGGCAGGAGGTTACCTAGGCAGCCAGCGCGCCCTCAGCCTTTTCTTTTAGGTGGATGAAAAGAGCCGAGCGAGCCTGCTGCTTAGTTGCAGAGGTAAATTTGGTCACCCTTTTGGGGGACTAAAATGCATTTGCGCATATGTTAAGTATTGCTTTGCAGGATTTCACTCCAAAGGGGGAGGGAAGCAAAATTACCTCTTCCACCGTTGAGTGTTAATGACGGACCACGTGGGCGTGTGCATGAGCTGTGAGGGGCAGCCTATGACTCAGTTCAGTCGAGCTGAAACAACAGGTGACACTCTCGCCCCTCAAAGTGCCCTGGCAATTAGATTGCTGAGGCCACAGATGTTGTGGATAATGCTAAAAAAAAAGGAGGGGGGGTCCTCACAGGCTGAGCTCCCTTGAGATGAATGGGTCCAGGATTGGGATTGGAGGGGGCACATTTGACTGATTTGAACCCAGGGAGTTAAAGGTTGGGGCGAAAAGAAGAAAATGACCAAAGGGAATGGAGAGATATATGATTCGAAGATACCCCTCTGCATGCACCGCGCGCGCGCGCACGCACACACACACACACACACACACACACACACACACTCACGTTCTCTCGCTTTAGCTCTCTCGCTGTCTCTCTCTTGCCTAGGCATTCCCCCTCCCCCACTGCCCTCTGAGCTGGCTGCCTGCCTCTTTGCAGCATCTGTATAAAAGTATTGGGAGGGCCCACACACTGTGTCTATGAGATTTGGCCCTACTTTCCTCCCGCCCTGCTTCCCTCTAAAAGCATCGCCCCGCCACCCCCTCACCCCCCCTCCCGTCCACTGCTCGCCTCAAGATGGCCACACTTAGAGAAAAGGAACTTGGAATGGAGCTTTTTCATTTTCTTCAAGTATTCCACAAACTCAACCTGGAGAGACCACTTTCCTAGGTCCTTCTCCGCAGAAACCCAACATGCCCCACTTCAGTGCTGTTTCACAACCCTGTGCGGGATCGAGCGCCTTCCACACAGCAGGCACTGCTCGCTCTTGCCCTGGAGCCCAGCCAAACTTCAAATATGGTGAACCCATACGGCTACCACATCGAGCCTGTGCTCTCTGGGGCTGTCCTGGCATGAAACCATGCACTCCGAGGTTTTTTGCTCCACAAATGCGCTCGCTGTAGACAGAGGCAACATGGTGAAAGTCCTAATGGCCATATGTGGAAAGAGCTCATCAGTATTTCAGAGAAGAAATGATAATGGCAGACTAAATACAATGGCAAGTGCATAATTTCAAAGTGAATAAATGTGTAATTTGCTGCTGTCGTTCAGTGGTTGGAAATTGAAAGAGCGCTGCAAATTATTTGATCCTTATGAACCATCATAATGAGAGTTTGACTACTCCTCTCTACCCCCATCTATATTTTAAGCTCCCATCAATTTGCCAGCTCTACTGTATTAGCTGCATTCAAGTTTTCTTTATCCCAGATAAAATGAGATCTTCGGTCAAAGTAAGGAGACATTCTCAAGAATGTCCTGTCTTTCTGGGGGTACGCATTTGGGAGTGACTGTGGATTTAGACCATTAGCAGAATAGGTTTGAGTGGATAAGGTACATGTCTTATGCTAATATGGATGAGATGAAATCAGCCAGCCCACAAAATAAATATTGCTGAAGGACTACACGGCATGGCCACCAAGCATTCTCATGTACTCCTTTCTTTTCAAGTGCTCAAAGACACAGGAGAGCCATTCTAAATAGCATGTTCCTCAAATCCACAGATCTTTTCATAACGCCCCCCCCCATTCCTTCTTAAGGATTTGTAATTTGGAAAGCACCACAGATGGAAACCAGGCACACAGAGTTAGCGTTTGGCAGAAAAATCTATATAACCGACTTGCAGTGCAGCTCTTTTGCCCTTATTTAATTTAGAAAAATTCAGAAAAAAAGGCAATGAGCTCATAAGTCTAGATGTTTATTTTGTTTTGCTTAACCTACCCACAGGCGCAATCAAGAATGGATACAATTTTAGGCAAGGAAAGTGAGCTAGTAATCAGACAATGATGGTTCCAATTGTCTCAAGGGAAATGTTACAGAAGTCTGAAAAAAAATTCTTCTAAACAAAAATCAAGTGTAATTCACTTTATGAATGCCATACACCAGTTGGGGGTGGGGCGGGTAGAGTAGTGATGGAGAGGACTGATGGGAATCAGAAAATCAAACAAACCGTGATAGTGTTACAACTCCCCAAAGATTGAGGGGTCTTGCCTTAGGGGGCCTTGGAAAGCGAGAGAACCAGTCCAGAGGGCCAAATGTTTGTACTGGTAAAAGACAGGTTTGAAGAGCCAAGATTTGGAGTTTCTCAAAATAGATGAAGTGACATAAAAAGAAAATGCAGCATTCTTAAACCAAAGAGAGAGTTTGGTATTTGTTTTGTTTTTGAGTGGCTTTTTTTTTTTTTTTAATGAGAATTAGCAACTGTATCTGGTATGCCAGCTGTGGCTCCCCAATTAGTTTGAAGTAGTTTTCCAGGTCCTCTTAGGAGCTCCGTGGCACAGTGGTTAAGCCCTCAGCTGCTAACAGAAAGGTCAGTAGTTCAAATCCACTCAACAGCTCCTTAAGAGAACAGATCTACTGTTTGCTCCCATAAAGATTATGACCTAGGGGGGAGGGAAAGACAATATCCAATAAGGGGTACATCAGACACTAGAAGCAATTAATGAATTAATCAAGGATAATTAACAAAATGTCCATCAACGATTAAAACAGAAGCAAAATATGATGTGTAAACATTCACTGAAAAATGTAAAAGGTTCTTGTCTTTTTTTTTTTTAAAAAAGAAGCCACCTTAAAAAAAAAAAAGTACGTTTACAAACTATGAAAACCTGTGTGGGAGTTCTGCTCTGAGTAGAACTGAGTTGGCTTTATTCTGTCCCTTAGAGTCACCCTGAGTCAGAATCACAGGGTACACAGTAACATAACACAACAGAGAATCCTATTGGAGAGAGAACACGCAAGAAGTGAAGTGTAGGAGAGTTTTCTCCTCTGAGATTGCACTAGACATTTGGGTGGTCAGATGATTTGGTAAGACTTTGAAAAAGTTATAGTATTGAATGCTAACTTGGAACAGCTTCTACAATTGTTTCCAGTGTGTTCTGAATGTATTTCTTCCACTAATCCGGATCATTGCTACTGAAATGTCCTTAGAGGGAGTCATGGATCTGATTGAAGCTGATTGGGAGGGCACCCTGACCTGAAGGGAGGCGAAGACTACCCTTATCCATGCCTTGGCAGGGTAGGGTGTTAGGTGCTGGGCGTACAAAAAAGAGTAAGACACAGTTCCTTTTGTCAAGGAGCTCATAGTCTAGTGGGGGTGCATACAAGGAAATCAGGCTTCCCAGGAAACTTGTAGGATTAAATAAGGGTGAAAAGGGCTAGAAAATACCTCCAGGAAATTGGCTGAAATGGTTACAATAGCCAGCCTGGGCAAAGGAAAAGAACTGAAGAGATGAAGTGGGAGATAGGGAGAGGTCACTTAATAGGACCGCCATCTTAAAAAGAGTTTCCTTAATTCTTGGAGCAAATTCCAATCTGTAGGGCATTAGGAAATGCAAGCATGAGAAGATTTTGGTGTCTCTTAGATGACACAGATGGTCGTGTCATTTTCACACCCCCCTCACCTTTGGGCTGGTGGGTAGTGTCCAATATTTTGTTGCATTATTTTTGCACATTCTGCTACTTCCTGTTCAGAGTTGCAATATTTGCTGTTTATAATAGCCTTGAAAAGGGCCACTTTACAGACCTGGGAGTAAAGAGTGCTGGATTTGGCTGGTG